ATTTACTGACCATATATTAATGGTCACATAGACTGCAGTATGCACGTGTACAGATGCCGCGAAACGATCCAGGATACATTGTGCCAACCTGTGCTTTTGACTTCTTCATTCAAATTTGGTAAGGGGACACTATGCTTCCAATGAATATTCAGCTGTTAGTTGATAATTTGAGAACAAGATCAATTAAATCGTATACAACTTTTTACTCATGAACAGACAAACAGTTATGAAACGAATTCATTGATTTCAAAGGTAAGGGTTGCGGGACTATTTCCACAAGTGTTGAACCAGGTAAAGTGGAGCGTGACGTTCTAGTATTATTACTTTCACGAATGCATTGCTTAGCCAGTCGGCTGATTTTGTCGTGCTAGGAAGTCCTAGGATGCCGTGGTGGCAGCCTCAACGCTATTTTAATTGGATTTTGGCCACGTTGATCACTGAATAATGTGGACCCTCGATCGATCAATCAAAAACCATGAGTGTTAGTTCGAGGTGGACGCTAGTTACGTGACATGATCAGTTGAACCCATGGCGTGCATGTTAGAACAGTGCTCATAGAGCGTTCGTGTGGTGTGCATATTTGTCTTGACTCAGAGGTTTTTTTTCATATTTTATTTTGCCCAATTTCTACGTCGTCTGCGATAAAATTGAGTTCAGTCCAGGGTGAATTTAAACTGTAAAAGCCTTTTCACCTCATTTCATACCCCTTGTTAGATTTGGTAAGGTTAGAACTCCATTCGTTGTGAGTACAAATGGTTCTCAGTATGCGTCCTTAATAAACGTACCTTTGTCGTCTTTCTTCTTATCATGTCAGTTCTGATAGGGCCTTGTGTAGTTCGTAATTTAAGATTTTCAAGCTTATACCACTGGCTGCCGAAATCTCAGTATCTCTTCCTAATGATTGAACTTGATAAATCCTTTATGCACCACGGAGTACCGTGTGTAACCATAAATAGAATATCGGGATAAGTCAAGGATTTCATGCTCAAGCATTGTTGCTGATAGCAATTATTTCTGTAACGTAGCGTGTCTATGGTCAGACTGATTGCCCTGTCTTTTTTCTCTTCACCATCGCAGCCGAATTGTGTTTTCAATTTGGCTAATCGTTCTAGTGTAGGGTATGTTCCAATTGCTTCTTGATCTGCACAAGCATCCTGGATGGTCATTGGACTGACCGTCCTCGATTGTGAAGTGGGATATGTGCACGATAGAAGTAATCCAAAGTAACTCATATAACCGACTTCGCTTTGAACTTAGAAAAGTATCACTCAAACACCGTTATGCATTGCAGTTCCACTCTATTGCGGCAGACGCGGACAGAACCGTCCAACGGCAATATGTATAGCCAACTGCAAGGGGAGTCCAGTCAGTCAACATACACGCTCATACCTGACAGTAGTTCTGTTATTGTACGTCCCGCCTTGTTTTTGTAACTTTCTCGGTTGTAAGATCGAAAATGGCCACTGTAAATGCTTAAAAGGTAAAACAACAAAATACCAAATCGACGTGAGAGTGCGTTTGACACTTTTATTTATGATTTGTGCTCACTTTGGAACTATGCATTTCCCCCCACAGATATCTGCTAATAGATTAAAAAAGCATTTAGACAGCTTGAATGAATGAATATTGACAAAAGTTCCATGGTATAGTAGTATTTAGCAATTTACATTGGCTTGGAAACAATCATGGTACCAACGCGACTACAACGAAAATGAAGAAAGGATGAGGTTATGTTGGATGTGACCAAATGGTTATGTCACCAAATTGTGACCCGGGCTAGAACGGCTCCACCGCCGCCCGTCCTCCCTGTTCCTGGCAGCCTTTGTATGGCCGCAGCTCCCTTCCTGAAAGTTGACTGTACATTTGTATATTCAATAAATAGAAGAGGAAGTAAAAAGACATTTTTTACTTGATCCTGTGGTACATGTTAAGGATCATAAGATGTATTGTATTATATTGACAAACTTCTGTCAGCACGTATGCTTACATTCTTGTGCAAAAACACACACGTCAAGCCGCTACCGGGGAAGACGAAAACAAAATATACATAGAAAAGTGAATAAGCGCTAATCATTAGCAATTTTATCATGCTCTGCCATGGTTAGGCAGGATGAAAAACGGTTTGATCAGTTGCCCGTTGACTGAGTGGGTAGTATGCTTGCTTTCTACCTGTGAGGTCCCAGGTTCGGGCTCCTGCCGGGTCGATGGATTCGCATTGCTGATGACACCCAACGAGATTGAAACAGCTGCGCAGTGCTTCAAAGATTTTCAGCTCACGCTTCAATTGCTCTGCACATGATGAAGTTCACCATACACTTGTGTCAAATCATCCACTACTTCTATGTCAGTTTTCCTTTATCAGTGTGAATTTTGGGCAGATACGAGACAGGATTGTGTCTACATATATTGACTTTAGCAAGAATGAGCGGAACATGACCTAGTTGAGGGATGAATAAAGTATAAATCTGAATAACAAGGTTGTGAGTTTTCACCGAGGATTTCGTGTGCGTAGCTCACGGACAAATCATAGGATCATAAAATTTAGTGATGAGAAAGTTTATGGGAATAAGTGAAAGTTGGTTGATGATGGCTAAGCCGCGGTGGTGATCAGTGAAATGTTTTTAGGGAACCCAAGAAAGGTAGCTGTGGAACAATAAAGAATAGCTGGCAGATACACTCATATACGAAGGACGAGGTTACATATAGTTTGTCAGTGAATCATAAATCACTAATGCTGAAGGACAGTCGCTTCATTTTACCAACAACACTCAGAATATGACCATTTCACACAACCTTCTAAGGTGTTCGCTCTACAAGCCGTTAATATGTGGAAGTTCATTGGGATAACATAAACACAAAAAATAAATGTACACCGAAAACATCCAAGTAAATTAATGTTGGAGGAGAAATGTTTTGAGTAACAATTAGGTTATGGGACAAAGACAGGAAATCAGACCCATTGAAAGCAGACTGGTATAGTGAAATATCATCTAGATTTTTTATGAGTTTATCGAGTGAGTTTCAGTTTTCATTTTATACAACCAGTAACCCTGCACTTTTGTGCGCCAGTTTAGGCTGCTGTCTTTTGGTTGCCCATTTGGATGAAGGAATAGAAAAAGGATTGGAAAGTGGAAAGTGGGGTCGAAGACAAAATGGATAATTTCAGTAGACATCGGTTGTCAAGAAACTGAGAAGGTACAGGAGTGCACAGTTCATAGCAATCGGTCGCACCACTCAGCGTCTCTAACCCTTGCTTACAATGATCTTTCTTTCTTTTCATTTTTTTTACTTCCTTTTATTGAATATACAAAGATACAATTTTCAGGAAGAGGGAAGCGGCCAATCAAAGGGCTGCCATACAATACACAAATGGGGAAAATCAGGCAGTTGTGGTGGGATTCGAACTCACATCCACGGGGTGATANTTTGGTGACGTTACCACCGGGCCACCACCACCACCACCGTCCTCATCCGGGGGGCAACGTTTCTGACCGAATCTCGTGGTTAGGGTTTTCATATCTTCAAGCCAGATCGTATCTTGAACGTCCTTGTTTTTTTCACCCATGACCTGCCTTGGAAAGCATCACGCGCCGTGAAAACCCATTTGGTGGCGTGCATAGCATGCCCAAATCAACGTAATCTATGGCGGTCGACCATTTGCTTTAGTGGACGATTGTGGCCACCTAAAATCTCGTCTACACTCAGCATTGTTCCTCCGGTTTCCCCACCATATTCGTGCAATGCTACGTAGAGAGCAATGTTCGAACACCGACAGTCTATCTTTATCCTGTTTTCTTAATGACCAAGTTTCTTCGCTGTGTAGCAGAACTAGCCGAATTGCTACAGCACACACTCGACCCTTCACGAACTGCTGAATGTTGCGAATCGAGCCTGCTGTATGCAAGCGGACACTTCTGTTAGGCGTCCACCGGGTGAGATATAGCTGCCCAAATAATAAAAAACTTGGCCGCTTGGTCTATTTCTTCCCCAATTAAGGTGAGCTATCCATGTGAGGAAACAGACCAATCACGAATATAACTAGTGTGTAAATATGGGGAAGTGGCAAAACTCCTAAGGTCGTTAGAGTTATTTACTAATGAAGCAGATAAATTCCTGTCTAACGGAGAAAACTGGATTCCCGCGGTGACGTAATCATTTAGCCGCGACAAAGGGTAGTGGACAAGAGAGGCCATGAAGTGACTTAATTACTCAATATCCGTTAGGGAAAAGAAGAAGGCAATACGCAAACTTGGGACAGTAATCGTACAAAAAGATGAAAATTACTTTACGAGCGAAGAAAATAAACGTGTTTTTTCGACATTAGGAGATGTACTTGAGAAATCAACGGGAACACAATTGACCTTAACCACTGAAAAAGACTCTTATTTTTTTATCTCCAGAAAACATATGAATGCCATTGGAATCACAATGGAATAAAATATGTACAAAAGAGCTTTTATCGTTTATCGGACGTCAAATTACGTTTCTGTTCAAATCTGGAAGGTTAGGTAGCACATTTGGCGAACCGCGACGGTTTTTCCATTTATGTTTTCCGAAGGTTGAACTAAACCCGAATCGTAACTTTTCTTTAAGCGAACAGATAAACTGTGATTCCGGGAATTCTGTACCTATCCTATGTGTTCTCCGTGTTGTTTAGTTAGGTTAGTCTTTCAATGTATTTCATATATCTAGGACGGGCATTACTCAGGACGAGATCCTTTTGGTGACCTGTGGTCTTCCATTATCTGTGTGTAACTAATAAGATCAATGGATTTCAGATTCACCGGTTTTCGCGTGTCGCTGAAAATGCGGAGACACGCCCACATGATGACAAATTTTCTCATTTTGAGTTTTGCCGACCTTTCCATGTGACTTGAAAGGTTTACGGGTTTAAGTAGTGAAATAATTCCGTTTTAACCTGAACATAGTCCTGGTTATTTCTTTCTTATAACCTCAGTTTACAATGGTAGCAACCGTAAACAATACCGCAGAAACTAGTTGCCTCAACAACACTGATTTCATCCGTTCATCTATGGGGAACTGTAACTCAAGGGTGTATCAATATGCTCCGAAAATGACTTTACTTAGTAGCTATATAAACGATATGTGGTGTACCATCGAAGAACAGCGGAAAAGTCCCTCAAGCCCTTAGCTGTCTGTTGCTTTGTTTTGGACGTACAACTGGCCCCCTGGTTGTCGTCTCTAACCTTTGACTTGTTGCTATTATGCGGCAGAAACCGCACTTTAGAGAACTACTCGTTAAGCCAATCGAGCTGAGGTAACTTGATCGTGATGCAAAACAAGACGCATTTCGTTAAATGGCACCCATATAAATCCCGATGAGCTAAATCAACGAGATTGATGTTTTTGATACATAGTTCATATGTGAACTCTTTTTTATCCTTTCTAGCTATGAGAAGCAGTAGCTGTACAAGATTACCTGGTTCATTCCGCATTGAATGGTGGATATATAAAGTTAAAGGAACAAACTCTCAGAGAGTGATGACGCCCAAGATCATAAATTAGATGGCTTAACCCAAAAATAGCGTTATAAATAGATATAGCTTTCCACTTAATATGTTGACCGTCTACTCAGGGGTAGGGATTTCGACTCTCAACTCAAGAGTTTTTCTTTCCTGACCCAGTAGGGAATTACAAAGGATGCACCAGTCCCAACTAAGGTGGACACAGCCTTCCGATGCTCTTTGAATTTTGCCACAAAGAATACACGTGCAAATGAAATGCATTAATGTGCGAAAAATTAGCGAGTTTTATCTTCTACGTCGCTCTCTTTCAAGTGAGCAGATGATGCACGATTAACTTATTACTTTCTGGTCGACACTGGCTCTTTTGTGTTCTGGTTGATTCAAATTTTCACCCATATGGAAAGTTACTGCTGGGCATTAGATGCAATAACTGAACTGTTTGTTAAATCATTCTTTTCCGTTTCAAATGATTTCTGATGATTTCTGTCTTTGAAATGTAGTGTTTGAAATAGTACCACAAATGAGCGAGAACGTTATATTAGTCACAGATCAAATAAACATTTGATAGGTACATTTATATGACTCCTGTACGAATTATTGATATGGTTTAGAAAACTCTTCTTAGCGTCGCTCCGATTTTTCTGCATTCGCGGCAACTCTGTGGAGAGTGTAAACCTGCTAAAATAAGTATCGCTCTGTCTATATTGTTTCGCTCACTTTTTTCTCGCACGTTCCCTTTCAGCTTTGGACAACCACAGAAGGAATGGAGCCAATCTGGTTCTCAACCTTATTTGGCTAATTCCATTTGTGGTATAATGCCTAAACCGTGTACGTCCGGCCAAATGTGTACGTCTTCATCGGAAGATGAAGTGAATCATTCCGGGTTTCGTTCCGGTACCACAGGGTCACTGGCCAGCGGTTTGCTTTCCGGATCCCCCGGGACTAACCAAAGCAGAACATATCATCGACGACATCCGGATACAAGCGGGTTTCGCAGGAAAGAAACCCGAGATCCGTCGGGTCGTGCGCATCCTACCGGGTTTACAAATCAAGTAAGCACAAATGACAGTTCATATTTTGCTGCAACTACCGAACTAATAAAGTGAAATAATTAATAATAAATAATAATAAAATTAAATAAAGGGAAATAATAAAGTGCATCTGATCAAGAATTCATCGTGCTTTTCCTGTTTTTAGATTGTTCTCACACTAAGTTTCATACTGAGTGCAGGAATCCAGAGCCCAAAATTACGACTGGGAGCGGTCACATTTTATCGTATCCCGACTATGTGCGTTTGCTCTCACGCACTGCTTTATTTCATC